AAGGTTCGTGCATTACTCGTTTAGTGATAATAATCTTCAAGTGAGTTTTTCCTAGTTACCTTTCATATACATATTGTCTTTATTATTTGTGTGAATTTGTAAGAAATGGCAAGAGCAATTTCCTTAAAAAATTGCTCAATTTTCCAGAACAATCACTATGAATTACACTATGCTACTATTGCGTCTTAGTCTCTAATACTCACGCTGTTGTTAATTTTTCCAGCGTTATCTGATACAAATACCTAAATGCTGTCATTATCCTGCAATATTCTGCAACGAGGCGTGGGAATTTGTTTTACAAGTCACACGAACCGAACTGAAATGACGGCTTAATGATCATAAAGTCATTGCAAAAGTCTAATTATTTATTCTGAACGTCAGATATCTTATGATCTGGAATTGAATATTGCTACATAATTCGATATCTATCCACCATTTATAATGAGATCTGTATAAAGATTAAAGCTATAGATAATTAGTTTTTCTAATAAATTTTGTGAAATCGGACATTTGATCAATGGACAAGAAATTTGAACAAAAACGAAGTTTCATCTTCAGTATTTGACTCTCAAATTTGACTATATCTTGATTGCCTCTATAGTAATACTGTTCGAATATTCGGAGTTCAGCTCCAGAGCAATTTCCTGAGGATAATAGAGTGAGTCTATTCAAAAAGCAACCCACCCAACTTTAAGAATAGCAATGAATCAATGAACATTTCTCAAACAGGTGAAAAAATATCGTTCAAACACATTCATCATTGACAATTAATGATGTTGCAAAATTACTTGAAGATTATAGTTTCAATTCGAGCTAGGAACCCGAACAGTTGAATGAAAATATTATAATCTATAAATGGAGTACAGTAATACAAAAAATATTAATGAACATTCAGTTAATTTTTTTTTCTATTCGATTTGAGAGATAATGTTAATTCTCAATTTCATGCTCTCTTTTTGGATATTCAACAGATATTCAATGTTCAACGTGGCAAATTGCCAGGAAAGTAGTTGTTTTCTGTTGAATATTCAGAATGATATCATGTGCATATCTTCATATGAAGGAGAATGCAAATTCTCTACTTCAAAAGATTTTGTTTTCAAATTCTTATCGTGTGTGTTCAATAGATATAATTCAATGTCCGTCGTGGCGTATAGGCAGGAAAGTAGTTGTTTTCTGTTGAATACACCGAGAAAGAATTAATATTGTCATCACATGGAGAATGCGAATTCTCAATGTATTTCTTCATATTATATCCATTTTTTTGGTGTTCATATATAAAAATATCTGAGAATATTCCTTTCAGTTGCATACCAAACTTGGTACTTTTTTTTATATGAATTACATATTCAGAGAAATTATGTTCATTCAGAGTTTATTTTTTATTTACAAAGTATAGGTAATCGGAAATATACTTGTTGATTCATCACAGTTCGAGAAATATGGATTGAAATTATGAAATTGTGGTTCTTGGGATTCAAAAACTACTATTATAATTGGGATATCCTTCCGTGTACTTCAAAATATAAATAGGTACGGATAACCTGGTAATCTTTACTCAAAACGATAACTCCATCACATCTTCTTCAAATGTGACCCTGGATAGCAGGTGGCATTCTGTTTGGGTGATATACTGACCTGGATGTAATCCTTTTCAAAAATACTATAAGTTAAGTACAAATAAAATACATGCCCCTTCACTTTGATATTTTATTGGTTCTACTAATCATTTAAATAACTTTCCTATAGTAAAGATTAGTCTACAGCCGATATTTCTTTCACTGGCGAAGAAAAATTAAGTGAATACGAAATTATAATGAACATTCAACAATTTATGAACAAAAAACTAATACTTTCTAGGAAAAAAAATCTTACTTTCCGATTTCATCATTGGTTCCCATCGCTTCGAAGAGTAAGTGAAGTGTAACGTTTTTGAAGATAATGCAACGTGAAACAAGGTGAAAATTTGATTACGATAATCTATTGAGAAATGGTAGATATTTCATTGACCTTGGCTTCTATCGTATTACCTATATACAGTTATAGAATAAATCATCGTATTGAAATGATGTTAATGAATTCCAAACATTGGCTCATAACGTCGATATACATCTCAAATCAATGATTTTTACATCATATCTTCATAAAAAATTATATAATATTTTTATAATGATTTCCAGAATTCTTCAATATATATGGCATCTTCGTTATAATAGATATTCACGATACATAAATGCCGTTAAGTTTCATAATGCGAACTATAGGAATATGCAAATATATATTTCTGGTATGGAATCAGAGCATCGAGAATTTTTCGATTCTAGAATTATAATTTTTTGCATTTTCTTTACTTGAAGAACATCCATCAGAGTGAATGTAGAATAACTAGAAGATTCAAACAAACTTCATATAAACTCGACGTGATTGACTTCGCAATATCACGATTTGGAATTATACATATTTTTACTTATCGGCATCAAAAAACTCATCGTTTATGCGAAAATAACTATCAAGAATTTTACGAAATAAATTAATTTCCTGTATGATGGCTAAGCAGAATATATTTCAAGGGCATCACTATTTTGAAGGGTTCGTATATGTGTCTCATCTTACTGAATTATTATTGAATAATATCATTGAGTACTAGTGTATATAATCAAGGCTCTAATCCACTATTTTTTCCCTTGTATAATAAATAACTATTTTGTTATCACAGTGTTCGTTCCTGTCGGACTTCGGAATATGTTTTGCTGCATCTGCCGTTATTTGTATTTGTTTGTTGAATAAATAATACATAGATGGCAACATTTATCATATAATGTACCTTGAATAAATTTTTAACAATTTATACATCAATTAATAAAAACATGCTGTAACTCATTTGTATACTAACATCACCACTCTTCAATATGCCAACATCTGTATGTTACTGAGAAGTGTCAAACTATAAGAACAGAATTTTCGAAGATATACAGGGTGTTATTTAAGTACGTGGCCAAACTTGAAGGGGTGATTCTTTGGGTGATTCTAAGACGAAAAGTTCATATAAACATAGGTCCGGTATTGCTTCGTTTTCAAGATACAGGGTGTCAAAATTTTGAAAAGAAATCGTTTTTTCGTAAATATCTTAATAACCCTTCAACCGATTTTATTGAAATTTGGCAGTGTTATTCAAGGTCGTAAAGGGCTAATTTAACCCTAACTATATCAAAAATATTAGTAAGACCCCAGTTTTTGATGGTTTAGTAGTTGAAATGTTTTATTGTGTTGTCACAGGGATGTGCAATGAAGTGATTTTTATGTTTTTTCTCAAAAACAAAGCAAGATACGAAAACAATTCTGGATATAAAAAAGTTGTAATTTTAGTTGCTCAATGTGGAACAAATACAAAAATTGCAAAAAAATCAGTGTCGCACATTTTTTGTGTCAAAAATATTGGTTACAGTGCCTTCCGGGACGCCACTGGACATGATAATTTTGATATAGTTAGGGTTAAATTAGCCCTTTACAACCTTGAATAATACTGCCAAATTTCAATGAAATCGGTCGAAGGGTTATTAAGATATTTACGAAAAAAACTATTTCTTTTAAAACTTTTGACACCCTGTATCTTGAAACCGAAGCATTACCGGACCTATGTTTATATGAACTTTTCGTCTAAGAATCACTCAAAGAATCACCCCTTCAAGTTTGGCCATGTACTTAAATAACACCCTGTATATTTTGCATTTTTATGTTGATAACGGGAGCAGATTCCTTCCCGAAATGTTCAAAGATAAGTGAAAATTCGATATTTTTTCAATATATCAATATTTCTTCTCTTCAAACATTTTTCCAAACGAAGTGTCACTGACAAGCTATGGGGAAATTATCTGATTTGTCCTACAGCACATAATATATTGAAATGATAATCATATTTTCATGTGTCACTGACAAACTATCAGATTTTTCTTTTAGGCTACCTGATAGAAAAATTTGTTAAACACAGTGACATTTTGGGCCAATTCGTCTAATTTGTCCTATTACACATAATATATTGAAATAATAGTCATATTTTCATTTTGTAGAAACGAGGAATGAAAATAAAGTGAAATCAATGCAACACCTCCTCGATTCACCTACGAACAGTATGAACTTTTTCAATCAAAATGATGAGATGTATCACCCATCTCAGTTTGTACCTTGAAACCTGAATCACCCTGTATAAATAAAATGTGCTATAAGACATTTAGATTGTATATGGAGCACTCATCAAATGCGAATTTTTTTTCACTTTCTGAAGTCTATCTTACATTTATTTGTATTGTTCACTGGCGTCTATAGCAACACAGTTCCAAATATGTTTTTATGGCGACAAGATGTTTTCGCACTGCAATTTTCGCTCTGCAGTGCAATTACCGCTGTAATTTTCCGATAATTGCTTTGGTCTTATGAGACATTTTATATATGAGGGAAATATTCGAAATATTCTGTTATTTTATACCTAGCAGCAAGGGTGTGACTTCCATTTTTCCTACGAGTAATGATATTATCCTTATTTGATTTGAAATCGTTTCTATTACTAGAAAAATAAACTGCTAGTTCATTCATATATATAAAATAGAAAGCCAACTGTCAAAAATGTTAGGGCAATTTGAAATAAATAATGACAGCCCACTAGACTAGATTGTGATTTCTCACGTTAAAAATCCACTGGGTACCCAATTTCGTGCAAATTACTAATTATTTGCAAGTTATTTTCAAAAACCCTGTATCACCGAAACAAAATATTTCCGGACACAATTTTAACTGAACTTTTTTCTCAAAATTGTCTCAGGAATACGTCACTAGAATATTTAAACGTACTTATGTTACACCCTGTATATTTTACGTTTATTATCAACTCTTTTTCGTGCAAAAACCACCTGCAGATAATCACCATGCATCGAAACTCGGCTCGAACTCACGCAATCCTCGCACAATCAGTACCACCTTACCCACCTTGCTTCTCCTTCTTGCAGGTACCACCGTGCCGAGGAAATTCCCTAGCTCACCTAGTGCCACGGGCGTCATCATCGGTGGACGACGTAACGCGGACCTGGTGAACTCGAGCGCCACGGAGACGGTGTCCAAGAGCTCTACGGAGACGTTGTCCAAGAACAGGCGACGCGCGCGCGAAAGAGTTCGTTGGGATGACCTTTGTGCGTGGGTAGTCGGGCGATGGTTTGTGCGTGCGATGGGTGACAAGTGGTGATCCGTGTGTGATCAGGTTGATAGACGAAAAATTGTGAATAGAGGATTTGGATATCGAAAAATTCGGTGAGTATATACCGACCTACATGATTCAGTTTTAATTTTATCAACTTGCTACTGTACAGGGTGACCCACCTAAATGTGTCACCTCCCCTCAATATTTATAATTCTCAACCTTTTTTGCCATTCAAAAACGTTTCTATACCTTTTCAACTTCAATTTCGGAATCGGTAAGTTATATTTCAGAAATGGTGAACTCAATTTCAGAATCGGTGAGATGAATTTCAGAAAAAGTCCATTCAATTTCAGAAATGGTAAGTGTATTTCAGAATTGGTAGGTTCAATATCATAAACAAAAATCCTTATATTTATTCGAAATATTTCCAATTGCATGTGAGATTAACAACCCATATTTGAAATATTCAACTTTTCAAAAACAATTTAATCCACAGATGCCTTCCATCTGACTCGCTGGAAGATAGTGGCGTTGCACATGATTATAAGAATGCAAACACATTTGAGGTGTTATCATTTTCATTGAATGATCTGCACATTCCTCAAGACATCGCAGTCTATCTGGTTGAGCAATCTGTTCGGATCCCCAGCTATGACCCTTTGGCGATGCTCTTGCAAGAAGCTCTTCACTTCTGACTTGAAGGCACCCCATTATGTTCAATCTGATTCAACATAGGGCTCTCAAACACCGTTCCATCCACTGTGAACAATCTTCTCTTTTGCGATTAAAAACATTTCAAACATAAAAGGATTTCATCTCCAGAAATTGAACCTACCAATAATAATTCTGAAAAACAACTCAGCATTTCTGAAATTGAATGGACTTTTTCTGAAATTCATCTCACCGATTCTGAAATTGGGTTTACCATTTCTGAAATGGAACTAACCAATTCTGAAATCGAGTTTACTTTTTCCGAAATATAACTCACCGATTCCGAAATTGAAGTTGAAAAGGTATGGAATAATTTTTCACGAATTTCTTGAATCTGGGTTCACTTTTTCTTCATATCAACAAAATACAGGGTGACTAAAGAAAGAAAAAAGTTTTTCCAAATGAAATAATCTAAATTGCATTCGATGATAATGAATGAATGATATATATATTTCTTCATCGAATTATGGGGAAAAACTGAATCATTTCATTTGAAAAACCAATTGGTCTGAGCCACCCTGTAATTTGTTGATGTAAAAAAAGGTAAGCACAGATTCAGAAAATTCGTAAAAAATATTCCAGACGAGTTTTTCAATGACCAAAATATGTTGAGAATAACGATGATAAAGGGTGGTGACACATTTAAGTGAGACACCCTGTATACTAGCTAGGATGGCAAACGTTGTTTCGCTATGAACATCAATTCTAGAAACTATTTTTTTAGAATTTTCAACAACACACTGTTATCATTTAGTTGTATACTTCTTTTTAATTTAACTAACTATGAAAGAGCGTTTTCTTAATTATTCAAACTACTATTGATTTCCTACTTCTTTTCGGTCTGGTAATCAACCTCATTAGTTTTTCGAAATATTATATTTCTAACAAAGCTCTTCAGACATATTGAATATTTTTATTATGACGAAGGAATCATAATCGACTCCGAAAACCCACAGATACAAATTTTGAATAGAATCAATCGGATCATATAATTAGAAAACTCGTTCACTATATTTGATCCACCATCTTGAAATTTTCAATTTTGAGGAAATAATCATAATTTCTAACCCCAAAATCTCCAGATACCAATTTCAAATGAAATCGGATCATAAAAATTACAAAACTCGTTCGCCATATTGGATCCGCCATCTCGAATTTCTAAATTTTGATAAAAGACTCATAATTCCTGACTCCGTAAATATTCAGATTCCAATTTTGAATAGAATCGGGTCATAATTACAGAGCTCGTCCGCCATATTGAATTTCCTAATTTTGATGACATTATTATGAACTTCAACCCCGAAAATTCCCAGATACCAATTCTGGACAGAATCGGATCATAAGTACAAAAGTGGTCCGCCATATTGGATTCACCATCTTGAAATTTCTGATTTTGGGAAAAGGATCATAATCTCCGGCCCCGAAAATCCCTACATACCAGCAAAAACCTTTCTTATGCCCAATGCAGTGAAAATGATATAATTCCAAAATGTCATTCAGGAACGTTTAATACATCAGGGTGGGCCTACTTGAATATCGCTGAAACTCTTCTTTAGAGAAAAAAGTGATCTTGTTCCGTATCCGATCAGATGTGTCATTTTCGAGTGGAATCGATTTAAAAATGTTGTTACACCCACATCTTATGCATAACGTTGCCAATTTTCAAATCATATACCCGAAATAAGCCTACCATATGTCAACAGCAGATTCTTCGATCAAAAATAAGAAAAAAGTTCCTATGAACTTCGGTCGACATTTGCTTCGTGGAGAAGCTAAAGCTTCTCAAAAGTGAGTCCCTGAAGATGATTTCACTCGAAAACGGTGCAAGCTAGTGGGGTTCATCAAGAGTACAATTTTACTGTTAAAAACCCTGAAATTTTATAATTTTGCATAAAATTTGGAAAAAAAACATGCACAAAAAATTTGGGGTAGTTTGTACCTTACCTTCCCCCAAGTAACCCTACTTACGGGTGAAATTTTTGAATAACCTTCAGCCCGTCCATTTAAGCATAAAATCTTCTGAGTATGTGCGGAATTTCATCATTTTTCTTCTACTAGTTACGGAGATATTAAATGAAAACCGTGAAGATGGTTTAAGGAGCTGAAGCTCCCATATAAAGCATTATTCGACCCAAGTTTATAGATTTTTTTTAAAATTTTTGTTGGAAGAATATGCTGTTTGAATATGGCAGGATAATTTTCTGTACATGATTTGAAAATTGGCAACGTTATGCGCGCGTGAGATGTGGATGTAATAGTTATTTATTATACAAGGGAAAAAAGTTGTAAATTTTAGTTCCAGGTTGTGTTGAGACAAAAAACCGTGAGCTAGAATCTAATATTTTTCCCGTGTATAATACACTATTTTTCTCTGTGACAGAAGGAAGGACGAATCGATATTGAGAAGGTATTACATTATTTTGAAATCTGAAAATCATCGACGTGAAATTTTAAGTTTTCAACAGTAGAGACACCTGCGTTGTAGGCATATTTATCATTCTTTTAAAGTAATCAAATATCTGAAGTCACTTCTGTCAGTCTAATTCTGTGATTTGATTTCAAAAACTTGCGAATTTAGTGGTTGTTTAGTAATATACGTAACCGCGAAGTCGAATGGAAGATAAAAGGACTTGCAGTTCTTTCTCGGAGACGGTATTCATCAACAGTGTATATATATGTGATATATATCCGGGAAAAAAGTACTCACTTTCTTCGCACGGGAAAAAAGTAATTTATGGAAAGTGACATTTTATAACCTGCCAACAGAGATGAAATGCCAAACTTTTTTCCCGTCAAGTCGATTCCACTCGAGAATGATACATCTGATCGATACGGAACAATAGCACATTTTTTTCAGAAAAAAGAGGTGGATTTTCATAATTGAATTGACAAAAAATATGTATACGAAAAAGTTTGAGCAATATTTAATGTAGTCCCACCCTGTATTAAACACTCCTGAATGACATTTTGGAATTATATCATTTTCACTGCTTTGGGCATACGAAATTTCGTTCTTATGCCGGATTGCATCATTTTATCATATACCGTTTCGGAAATATTCAGGAGATATCATCTTCAGGAGCCCCTTTTGAGGAGGCCGTATCTCCCTTAGGAGCAATTTTTCGACTTATGTTTATTGGTACTCTTCTTCCTATTTTTGGTAGGAGGATCTGCTACTATAGTATGGCAGGCTAATTTCAGGGCACCCGGTATATATAAAATCAGAAAATTATCAATTCGCGCAAATTAGGATGATTGAATGATTTTAAAAAATGTCGTTAAGACGTCTAGACAATTCTAGTAATAGGTATTACAGTAAATAAGCAAAAAAAGAAAATCATATAATTTGTTTGATGTGTTGATATTATAATATACAAAGTGAATTGTTTATTATTTCTGATAATGGTATATTCTGCGATTAATTGTCAATCTCGTACATAAAATCTATAATCCGCTATAATCACTGTCGTACCATCGTCCAAATAAACCCGGAATAAGTTTTTCAAAGAATAAGAAAAATTGTTGTAGAAATATCTAACAAGAAATAACTACTTTCCTGGCTGATAGCAGAGAATATTGAATTATATTTGTTAAGTATCGAAAAACCTCAAGATACCGGGTGACCAGTTATATTCTGACCCATTTCAACTGCTCATATCTCCGAAACTATTCAAATTATCGTTGTGCGGTTTGGACTTCTCTATTTTGATATTCTTCAAGTTTTTTGACTGGTTCACCGTCTCACCAGAACTTCCGGTTCTACCGGAAACAAACAAGCCATTATTCAGGTATAGGGCAACTTTGATAACATTGCATAATCTCATTGACCCATTCCATAAGTATAGTAGTTGTTTCAAAGAGTTATAACTCTAATAGTTTTCTAGGAGAACATAACTTGTAATACATTGTTAGATAGAGAAAATACCAGTCTTTCTGAATGTGCAAAAATATACAGGGTGATTCAATGAGATAGAAAAGTTGCCCTATACCTGGATTATTGCTTGTTTGTTCAGTTCAAGTGAGAAGATGAACACGTCAAAAAAAACTTGAAAAACATCAAAATAGACTAGTCCAAACCGCACAACGATAACTTGAATGGTTTCAGAGATATGAGCATTTATGACATAGGTCAGAATATAACTGGTCACCCGGTATCAATTTCTGAGAGAATGTATTCTCTCTATTTATTGGAAGATGGTATGATCAATAGACAGATATTATAATATTATGTAGATTTAACAAGGAACATATAGTTGTTTTCTGTGAAATATCTCTACAATAATATTTCAATCTTTGGAAGACGTTCATGGTAACTTAAAGTGGAGTGGTGTAGTATTTTATAAAAGAAAGAAAACCCAAAGTCATCTCACAACTTTTATCAAGAATGATCAAAGATCAC